CCATACCCCCCTTCACCCATACCCCCCCTCACCCATACCCCCCCTCACCCATACCCCCCTTCGCCTGCAGGGCAGCAGCCCGCTCTAGCACAGGACGTCACTGTGTCATCACCGGCAGCAGCAGTGTTTGAGCGCACATGTGCTGGCTGCCACGCTGGCGGTGGTAACCTGCTCAAGCCGGTACGTTGTTAAAACACACACGCCAGCAGCCTAGGCCTCAATCCCTACTTATCGTCCCCATCGCCACCAGCAGCAGTGTTTGAGCGCACATGCGCCGTGCCGGCTGCCACGCTGGGGGAGGAAAACTGCTCAAGCCGGTACGTTGTTGACACAAACGCCTAGCAACGGAGGACTCAATCCCTCCCCATCTCCCCCATCGCCGCCAACAGCAGCAGTTTATGAGCGCATATGTGCCGGCTGCCATGCAAGGGGGGTTGGAAACCTGCGCAAACCGGTACGTTACTAGCACAGGCCTCTTAGCAGCCCATGAGTCCCCCTCCTCCAGCTTCACCAGCAGCTGTCTTTGAGCACACTCCAATCACCCAGCTGCTACGGCACATGTGCTGCTATGCTATGGCACGAGTGTGCTGCTATGCTATGGCACGAGTGTGCTGCTATGCTATGGCACGAGTGTGCTGCTATGCTATGGCACGAGTGTGCTGCTATGCTATGGCACGAGTGTGCTGCTATGCTATGGCACGAGTGTGCTGCTATGCTATGGCACGAGTGTGCTGCTATGCTATGGCACGAGTGTGCTGCTATGCTATGGCACGAGTGTGCTGCTATGCTATGGCACGAGTGTGCTGCTATGCTATGGCACGAGTGTGCTGCTATGCTATGGCACGAGTGTGCTGCTATGCTATGGCACGAGTGTGCTGCTATGCTATGGCACGAGTGTGCTGCTATGCTATGGCACGAGTGTGCTGCTATGCTATGGCACGAGTGTGCTGCTATGCTATGGCACGAGTGTGCTGCTATGCTATGGCACGAGTGTGCTGCTATGCTATGGCACGAGTGTGCTGCTATGCTATGGCACGAGTGTGCTGCTATGCTATGGCACGAGTGTGCTGCTATGCTAGCCTATGCTATGGCACGAGTGTGCTGCTATGCTATGGCACGAGTGTGCTGCTATGCTATGGCACGAGTGTGCTGCTATGGCCGCTGGCAACCTGTCCACATTTGAGGTGCCTCAAGAGCAGCAGTCACAGCACATGTGCTGCTATGGCAGCAGGTGGTTGGGTGTGCTCAAAGGCTTCACCAGCAGCCGCCAGCAGGTAGCGAGCACCAATCACCCAGCTGTCACAGCACATGTGCTGCTATGGCAGCTGGCAGCCTCTCCTCTCAGCAATTCCTGATGCTTTTCCCATCGACTGAATTCCGAGAGTTTGTGTGCTCTTGGAGTTGGTCCATCAATTCTCATTTGAGTTGTTGTTCGCCCCTCAGAGCTACTCCTGGTTTTTGAAAAATCTCAATACCCAGCTCAATTGTCATACGAGTTGTTGTTCACTGTTAAGGGCTACTCCTGAGAGCAGGCTGGCTGCTGTTGGCTGCTATGACAGCCTTTCCAGTTCACCACATTCTTGAATGGAGTTGTCTCCTTCTCGTCACGGTTTCACCACACACCCCCTTGGTTGTGTTTTTCCCGCATCTTCTCCCGTCTCCTCCCTCTTTGTCCGTTTCTTCCTTCCTGCAGGGTGCGGGCCTCTCACTCGCTGATCTCCAAAGGTGAATGCAGTTCATCTTCCCTTGCGCATCAACTTCCTCTCTCGCTCTCTCGCTCTCTCGCTCTCTCGCTCTCTCTCGCTCTCTCTCTCTCTCCCTCTCTCTCTCTCTCTCTCTCTCTCTCTCTCTCTCTCTCTCTCTCTCTCTCGCTCTTTCCATTCCGCACTCTTTTATACCCTCGTCATCTTGCATGACACCCATTCGTTTTGAGACGTCTCAAAACAACCCTGTTCACACGTGGTTTATACCCTCACCATCTTGCATGCCACCCGCGTGCATTGAGGTGGTTTTTGAGGCGCCTCAAAAGCCACCTCAACCCTCGCTCTTTCCATTCCACACTCTTTGATACCCTCGCCATCTTGCATGACACCCATTCAGGCAGTACCTTTTCCTGGCCAATGTGAGAAATTTTACAATTGTCTCGGAATATACATTACTATCCTCCGTCCTCACTCGAGACCCATCGCCTTTCTCTCTCGCATTTTGGAGAGCCTTAGATAAGCCTCATGGTTCGCTTCACTTCACCCATCCCCACTCGTCATTCCCCATGCTCGCTCCAGGAACGGGCTCACCTCAGCGGACGACATTGCCAGAGTCACTGCATTCGGCATCGGTCGCATGCCTGTACGTATTAGAGCATTCTGGACTCTACTAGAATGCCAATATGTATCAGAGCATGTGGGACTCTAGTACCATGTGTATAATATCTCTTCGCATGTATCCCACTGAACTCCAGTCAGTCTGTATGTACCCAGAATATGGTATCAGATATCTCGTTTTGACTTTTGAGATGTCTCAAAACTGCATGTATCCCACATGCACTCCAGCCGTTCTGTACCCTGAAAATGTATCGAGGGCTTAGCTCGACCAATGCTTATCGGTCTTTTCAGTCTTTAGCTTTCGAGCCTAAAGAAGCTTGACAAAACGATTGAGTGCTCCCCTCAATGTCTAGAAACTTTATAGAATCCCCGAACGTCTATGAAACCATCCCATCCCATCCCATTTTTCCTTTCCCCATTCCCCTTCCCCTCTCCTTTCCCCCGTTCCCCTTGCTTCAGCTATATGCCAAGGCCAGTGTAAGCACCTCGCTCCCCCACCACTGCTAGTCCACCATTCAACCTCATGCCCCCTCTCTCATCCCACTCCCCTTTCCCCCTTTCTCCCTGCTCCCCCCATCCCCCCACACACTTACAGTTTCCCTGCCAGGGGCCAGGGCTACGTTGGCTACATGGGGGCAATGCAAGGGCTTTGAGGCTAGACTTTCACTGCTCCCCTCTGGCCCGCACCCTCCTCTCCCCTCTCCCCTCCCCCCTTCTCTCTTTTCCCACTCTCTCCTCCCAGGGCTACTGGGAGGAATGCGGCAGTGCACGGTTGCCTTTCTTCCCCCCCACTTTCCCCCCACCCCCTGCCCCCACCCCTCCAACCCTCCCTCCCCCGGCCCTATCGCCCTCCCAGGGCTACGGGGAGGACTGCAAGCCATGCTGGCAGTGAATATGTGCCTCTGGGGCAAGGCTATCTCTTTCCTCCCTCTCTCCCCCACCCTCTCCCTTCCCTGTCCTGTCTTTCCCCTCTTTCTCCTCCCATCCCAGGGCTATGGGGAGGACTGCAAACCGAGGGGCCAGTGCACGTTCGGCCCGCGTCTGAGTGCTGACGTCATCCGCCAGCTGGCAGAGTACACCCTGTCACAGGCAGAGGCAGGATGGCCACGCTGAGTCTGTTTCTTGAAGTTTTACCGTGTAGTACCAGAGAGAAACGAATAAAACGCTCTTAACTTGGAGCTTGGACTGGCATGGCAGGCAGAATTGTATTTATACATCAATATGCACTAGAACGTAGCAATGCCACAATTAAATTTTGTTCTCCTTGATAACATTCTCGCTTTCTAATCTTGTCACATGCAACGACTGGCACTGAAACCGCTCCTGCCCTGGCACATCCAGCAGCAGTCATTGGCATTGCCCTGAGTTACCATGACTCGTGGATTTATGGCTTCACTGCACCCAAGCAATGTCCCCTTGATTGATAGGGCCTGAGCGCCAGCCATTGCCATCAAACTCCAAAGACTACCGTACAACAAATAGCTGCTTGAGTCTTGACTCTTGAGTCTTGACACCTCCACTACACTACCACCTTTTACCTTATCTCATTTCTTTGCCCTCCAAACCAATTCTTTCCGCCAGCCTTCTCTTCGCGTCGCTCGCCCTCTTTCCTTCCGCTCGTCGCTCCTGCATGCTTTTCCCAAGCTGAGCGTGGGCTCTCACGATCAGCTTCTGTGATCTTAACGAGGGACTTCAACAACATCACATCACATCACATCAGTCCTTCCGTTCGCCCTAGGACCGTTCCCGAGAGTTTCGCGAATGTACCGAACTGAAGCAGCAAGCTCTGGCGCAAGATCCAACGCGAACCAGCTGGCGAACCAATTCTGAGCCTTAAAACTCGGTGTATTTGTTATATTGATGGACACGTGAGGATCAACAAACGCTTCGGAGGGGTTCCGCCATTGTCCCCACCACAGGGATCCATGGCTCCACTGAATGTCGCACGACCAAGCCTTCGGTAACGTACGGATCCGCCTCGATTAGATCGCGAACCACCTCTTCGCGATTGTTCGCACGGACGATCAGCAATGCGCCTGTGGGAGGGTTACCAGTCGCAGCACCTGCGACCATTTTCCCGTCCGCGGCCAGCGACCGGCACAGCTGCACGTGCTCCTCGCGAAATTTCTCGCGACGGGTAACAATGTCCGGCACGTATTCGTAGATCACCGCGAAAAGCTGCTGCTGTTGCTCTGCAGGAACGCTGCTGCTGCTGTTGGCAGCACATCTCGTTGTGAGTGCGACGCGCCTCGGCGAGGAGAGGAGCGCAAGCGAGTGACGGAATGGCAACGGTCGGCCGTGGTGGAGGGAGAAGCGGCAAGCAATGGCGGTGGTGGCTTGGGAGGTGATAAACGCCGCCATGGCTGCACTAAATCTGCGCTAGATTCTGCTGGAAGCAATGGCGGTCTAGACTGCACTAGATCGTGGGAGCATACGACTGGAAGACAATCCGCAGAGCTTGGAATTTGGATCTGTTCACACCAAAGTGGAGTTCAGTTCAGGCTGGATGGATTTGAACGCGACACACGCGTACGCGATTGCCGCATCGCCCGTTGTACATGGCTATCGTTTCGCGATGTTATTGTGAATTGTCATACACTTGCTTGTGTGCCCCCAATCCAGCCAACGCCAAGTATTCGATTGAAACAAAATCTACAGTATAAGAAACATTTGATGTAATTAGGAAGGAATGTCATATCCCTGAGCAACACTAGGTGATTGTCCAAGCTTGCTCAGCTTCCCAGGCTTCTTCGCACCATCCCCCATCCCAAGCGCAGCACTACCAGCAGCACCACCACCACTTCCAACCGATGACTTCTTTCCTTTTTGTGCCTCCCCCACACTTCTTTCCCCGTCGTCCTTCCCTTCCCCCTCCCCATCACTCGTGTCGTCACCTTCCCCTGCTGCCTCAATTGCTGCTCTGTTCTTCTCCAGAGCTGCTGCCACCTCCTTGGGCATGTATTTCTACAGTGGAAAGGGGAGAGGATAGAGGGGGGAGGGGGTTGGGGAGTGTTATGAAACGTCTCAAAGCATCACTCGTGTCGTCCACTTCCCCTGCTGCCTCTATTGCTGCTCGGTTCTTCTCCAGAGCTGCTGCTACCTCCTTGTGCATGTATTTCTGAGGTAGAAGAAAATGGGCGAAGGGCAGGGGAGAGAAGGAGAGGGTAGGGTGGGAAATTGGTGGGCATGTTGAGATCACGGGACACCCCACAGGTTCTTCTCCAGAGCTGCTACCACCTCCTTGGACATGTATTTCTATGGTAGAAATAAGGGGGACAGGGTGGAGGGGGGAGGGGGGGGAGGGAGAGAGTGAGGGTGGACACATCATCTTGCTCAGTGACAACATATTAAACACCCACAATGCTAAACAAGGAAGAGAAAAAACGTGGAAAAACAGTAAGGAAAAAATAAGAGAAAGACAAAAGAAAAGAAAAGAAAAGAACTTTAGGCACTTGATTTAGATACAGTAACCAAGAGAACAGATTAAGACTGACCTTACTTATACCGGCATGAGCACAACCTAAAACAGCCTCAACCTTCATCCGGCATCCGGCACTCACCTCATCATGCTTCGCCAGCACTTGAGTCGCAACAAAGAAGTACCCCCCACACCGAGCTCTTGCCACACCACAGGCACCCAGCAGCATTCTCCTTCATCTCTTCATGGCCATCTAAGCTCGCTACCCCTCGTAGTGTTTCCCAGCAGCACTCACCTCATCATGCTTCGCCCTCTCCCACTCACCTCATCATGCTTTGCCAGCACTTCAGTCGCAGCAAAGAAGTACCCCACACTCCGCGCACTCGCACTCACATCCTCCCCCTCCTCCCACTCCCCCACCCCCTTCTCCCCCACACCCCCACCCTCCCCTCTCGCTCCCCCCTCCCCAATCCCCCTCTCCACTACAGCACCCTCCGCCTCTGCAACCCCTAATACAGTCGCCCCTCTCCCAGAAAATCCACTGCTGCTGCTGGCACTGGCGATGCTGCTGCCAGTGAAGGCAGCGGTGTTGGCTTCGCTCAGGGGGCGCAGGAAGCCCTCCGCCACCACTGAATGGCCCTCCCTGAACAGATCAGGCAGAGCACCCCTGAACCGGACCAAAATCTGGCGTAACGGGGGAGGGGTGGGTTGGGGGGAGAAAGGAAGATGGGAAGAGGTGTGACAGTGCAGGAAGCAGCGGTGGTGGCTTGGCTGAGAGGCCGCAGAAAGCCCTCCGCCACCACTGAATGGCCCTCCCTGAACAGATCTGGCAGGGCACCCCTGAACCGGACCAAAATCTGGAGTCAGGAAGGGGGGAAGGAAGAAAAAAGGGCTGGTGGCGCATCCAAGAAAGCAGGGGTGGTGGCTTGGCTGAGCGGCCGCAGAAACCCCGCCGCCACCACCACAGAGTGGCCCTCCCTGAACAGATCTGGCAGGGCACCCCTGTAACGTACCAAAATCTGGAGTCAGGAGGGGGGAAGGAAGAAAAAAGGGATGAGGTGGTTTTGAGACGTCTCAAAACACTTCTATTTACATGAGGTGGCGCATCCAAGAAGGCAGCGGTGTCGGCATGGCTGAGCGACCGCAGAAACCCCTCTGCCACCACGGAATGGCCCTTCCTGAATAAATCAGTCAAAGCACCCCTGTAGCAGACCGGGATCTGCAGTGAACGCACGGAAAAAAGGAAGATGATTATGGTTTTCTATAAGCTGCGTTGGCTTGGCTGAGGGGGCGCAGAAAGCCCTCTGCCACCACAGAGTGGCCCTCCGTGAATAGGTCAGGCAAAGCAACCCTGTAGCGCACGAGAATATGCAGCATTAACAGGGAGAACAGAAGAACAGGAAGGATGTAACAATGAGGGAAGCAGCGGTGTTGGCTTGGCTGAGAGGCCGCAGAAACCCCTCCGCCACCACTGAATGGCCCTCCGTGAATAGGTCAGGCAAAGCAAGACCTATTCACGGAGGGCCTCTCTGGCAACCCTGTAGCGCACCAGGATCTGCAGTGAGAGGGACAGAGGGGGAAAGGAGGGAGGGAGAGAACGGGTGTGAGAGAGCAAGCAAGAAAGTGGTAGTGTCTGCATGGCCTCACATTTGTTACAGACTGGAAATTCTAATAATCACATCTGTTACAAATTGAAAACTTTTAGTCTCACGCCTGTTACACTTTCTGAACTCTTGTACTCACATCTGTTACACTTTCTGCACTCTTATACTCACATCTGTTACACTTTCTGCACTCTTACTCACATCTGTTACACTTTCTGCACTCATACTCACATCTGTTACACATTCTGCACTCTTATTGTTATAAGTTGTGAAAGGAAAGAGTGCGCAGAACTCAATAATGCGGAAGTGATTACAACGTCTGAATGAACAACGAGGCCTAGGCACAATATAGCAAGGCTAGCTAGGCCGAGGTCGCGGGGTCGCGAGATGGTTGGGTGCAGGTTCGGGGTTGGAAAACCCGAAAGCGACGCGGTGGTGGCTCGGAAGGCGAGGTCGGCGGGCCGAGCCTGGTTTTCCGAAAGTCGGGGTTGTACGCGTACAGTGTGACCCAGTAAGGAATCCGGAAAATTCCTTACACTACCCCCCCCTTTAAGAAAGGTGGTGAATATCCGAAACACCTCGGCGGGCCAGGTAAACGTCCGAAACCGGGTGTCCCAGTAGCGAATCAGCAGCGACATACGTGTCGTCCTCGCTCGTGCGGTCTTTCCAGCGAAGTAGTAATTTCACCGAGCGGCCGGCGGCAGTCACATCCACGCGATGGTTAAGAATCTTCCAAGGTTCCAGCGTTGGCTCTGCCACGGGGCGAGTGGTCGGCGCGATGGTTGGTCGAGCAACAGCTGGCGACTGCGGCTGTTTGTAATGACGCAACAGGCTGACGTGGAAGGCGTCATGGATTTTCCAATCGTCGGGCAGCAGCAGCTTCGCGGTGACAGGTGTCACCATCTAATTGATACGGAATGGTCCCACGTATCGGGGCCGTAATTTCGCGGGCTGCGGCAGCCGAAGGTTCTTGGTGTCCAGAAGTACAACCTGCCCTGTGCGGAAGGGTAAATTTCGTCTGTGTTTATCCGCCTGGCGACTGGCCGTGGTATTAGCCTTGCGAATGAAATCGGCTGCTTTCGTTCGGGCGGTTTGCAGTTCCGTGACAAACTGCTGCGATCTTGGTACCGGGTTGTCCACAGTCGTTGAAGAGGGTACCACGGGGTCTATCCCGTAATTCAGGAAGAAGGGTGATTGTTTAGTCGTGGCCGACGGGGCGTTGTTGTACGCGAATTCCAGCATCGGCAGCGAATCTTCCCACTTGCGAATGTCGGGGCAGTTGGTGCGAATCAGCTGTTCCATGGTCTGATTTGTCCGTTCCGTCTGTCCGTCGGTTTGCGGGTGGTATGACGACGAAAACTGCAGGCGGGTACCGTACTGTGCCCACGTTTCCTGCCAGAACTTCGACGTAAATTTCGGATCACGATCGCTGATGATCGCCGAAGGTAACCCGTGTAGGCGTACGACGGTGGAGATGAACAGTTTGGCTGTATCTTCGGCTGTGATCGTCGTTCGGCATGGGGCGAAATGCGCCATCTTCGTTAGGCGATCGACGACGACCAACACCGAGTCGTTGCCACTTGTGCCAGCTGGGAGCCCCGTGACGAAATTCATCGTCACCTGTTGCCACGGTCGTTCGGGTGGCGCGAGGGGTTGCAGCAGTCCGACCGGCCTTTGTCGCGACGACTTCATTGCTTGGCAGGTCGGGCAAGTTGACACGTAGCGCTGCACATCGGTCTGCATGTCCGGCCAGTAATAATTCCGCTGCAGCAGCTTCAGTGTCTTGTCGGTGCCGAAATGCCCGGAGAGGTTGGAGTCGTGAACCTCCTGCGTCAGCAGCTCCCGTAAAGGCTGGTATGCTGGTACCCAAATCCGGTTCGTACCGTTTTTTAGGTAGTATTTGCCGTGCGGTGTAGCGGCCTGTTGTTGCGGGTTCCGAAAAAACCTGTCGATCTTGTAGCCGTGGGTGAATAGTCCTGTTAGCATCGGGTTGGTGTGGGCGATTAGTACTGCCGCGTTTTGCATGGATGGTCGGGTAAGGGCGTCGGCGATGTTGTTGGCGCCCTTTTAGTACGTGATGGTGTACCGGAAATTGGATTCGAGGAAGTCCAACCACCGGATTTGTCGCGGGTTGAGTGTCGGTTGCGTGCGCATGTACTGTAGTGATTTATGGTCGGTCCGAATCGTCACGTCGGCTCCTGTGAGGTAGCAGCGCCAGACGCGAAATGCATGGACGATGGCCAGCATTTCTTTGTCGTGGACTGGGTAGTTGCGCTCAGGTGGCTGCATCTTGCGTGACTCGTAGGCGATGGGTTGCAGCCCTTGGCCGAAGTCCTGTAGCAAGACGGCGCCGACGGCGAAATCGCTGGCGTCCGTGACGACTTCGAACGGTCGAGATGGATCGGCGAGGCGGAGTACCGGGGGTGAACCCAAAATATTTTTGAGGGCTTCGAAGGCGGATTGCTCCCTCTCCCCCCACCTGAAATCGCTGTCGTGGTGCAGCAGGTCGGTCAGCGGCTTGGTTATCCCTGCCATATTGGGTACCAAACGACGAACGTAGTTAACAAACCCCAGAAAACTTTGCAACTCAGGGATATTAGTAGGCGGCTTCCACTGAACGATGGCGTCCACCTTACGCGGGTCGATTTTAATCCCTTCGCCAGAAACCACATGCCCCAAAAACTCTAATTCCGGCTTCAGGAACTCACACTTAAACCCTTCTGTAATTAGCCGATGCCCCTGTAAACGCCGGAACACCTCCTCTAAATCCCGCAGATGGTCCTCTTTTGTCGCGCTGTACACCAGTATATCGTCCAGGTACACGATGACCTTCTTGCCCAGCATGTCCCGAAAAATTCCATTCATGGTGAGCTGGAACGTCGAGGGCGCGTTTGTCAGGCCGAACGGCATCACTGTGAACTCGTAACTGCCGTAGCGTGTGCGGAAAGCGGTCTTCGGGCAGTCGTCGGCGAATACGCGAATTTGGTGGTAGCCTCCTCGCAGGTCGATTTTCGAAAAATATCGAGCTCCGCGAAGTTGATCCAGCAGATCGTCGGTTCGCGGGATCGGGTAACGCGACTTTATCGTGACCCGATTCAGCGCCCGATAATCAATGCACATGCATAGGCCACCGTCCTTCTTCGGCGTGAACAGTATCGGTGCTGCATACGGCGACGTGCTGGGCCGGATAAATCCCTTGGCGAGCAGGTAATCCAGCTGGGCCCGCAACTCGGCGAGTTCTGGTTGACTGAGCCGCCACTGTGTCCGCACAGTAGGTTGCGCGCCGGGCTCCAGCTGGATCCGATGATCCTCAGGTCGTTGGGGGGGCAAACCATCCGGGAGGTCATCCACGAAAATTTCGGGATACTTCCGAATAATGCTCGCCAATTCCTCGGGGACTGCCGCGCAGAGGGTGTCGATGTCCGCGATTTTCTCGGAAGCTGCCACTTCGTACAGGTGCACTAAGAAGGCCTGAGCTCCGCTGTTCATCGCACGCTGCATGTTGACCGCGTTGACACGTGTCGTCACCGGCTCCGGCTCCGTCCATTTCGGAAGCGTCGTCTTCCCTCCGTATCCTCGCACGACGCACGCCCCAGTCGTCCAGTCGATCGTCGGATTGAAGCGCTGCAGCCAATCCCTCCCCAGCAGCACATCGCAGCCGTCCAACGTCGTCGCCAACATCCTCATGCCAAACCCGAATTTGTCGCCGCACTGTATCCGAATTTTTCGCGCTTCATCTCGGATGGCCAGCGGTGTCCCGTCCACCAACCTTGCATCGATCTCTGGGAGACACCTGGTCAGCTTCACCCCTATTTTTTTGGCCGTTGCCAGGTTGACGAGACTGTGGCTCGCCCCACCGTCAACGAAAATTTTAATTTTATAACCGTTAACCCTCCCTACCACCAGTACAGGGTAGTCCACGTGTTCACCCACGTTATTCGTCCGGTTCTGGTCGATAGCGCTGATCGGTACCACGACCCGGTGTGGATGGTGATTGTCGGGCGACAGGGTCTCGTCAGTAGGTGGCCCGTCTGCTACTGACTCGTATCTTTTCCCGACCCTTCTCCGTCGTTCTTCTTCCCCTGCTTAAGCCTCGGGCAGTCTTTTTTCAGGTGGCCCAGCTGGTTGCATAAAAAGCACGGCCCAAGGGCTCGGCTAGGTGCATCCACGCCGTTGATCGTGGGCTGCTGAGTCGGTCCACGAAATCGAGGGCCCTCCCGGGAGCTCGATCTCGCCCACTGCATCAGCGCATCCGTTGACTCGGCTTCCCGGACGGCGTCGTTGAAGCTGCGTGGCCGGGTTCTTCGGACCTCGTACTGTATCTCGTATTTCAGGCCCGCCACGTAGCGATCCAACCGCTCCGCGTCGCTCATGTCGTCCACCTGGTCCGCCAAGTTGCAGAATTTGCTGGTGTAGTCTTGGACTGAAGTCAGCTGCTTCCAGGTACGCAGCTGCATGCGAGCAGAGTCCGAGGCGGATACGTGCTCGAATCTGGTTCGCAAGGCGGCGCCCCACTCCTTCCATGTGCGTATCGTGGCCGTCCCGAAAATCGATGTTGCCTGATGCGTGACAGGTGTTGAAGTCCCGTCGTTCGCACGTGCTATCCCTGCCGAAGTCCCTTCGTGTTGCAGCGTTCGCCTCCACCACTCCAGCGCAGGTCCTCGCAACAGTGAAACTGCGAAATTAATGCGGGTGGCGTCGTCATAAATCATAGCAGCATTAAAGAACACTTCCACACCGAATAACCATGCGGAAACAGTGACAAACTTGTCACTCGGGTTAAATGGGGGCGGGTTTGTCGGCTTGATTTTCACAAAAGCCGTTGCTGCCATCGGGGCCATTGGCATTGCTGCTGGCGTCGCCGTCGTCGTCGCTGCTGCACGTGGTGGTACTGCACGCGATTGTTGTGGCGACTGTTCCTGCTGCGCCTGCCTCGCTTCGTCCGCATCCATCTCGCCTTCTAGCTCGCTCCAGACCCACTCATCTGGTGTAGTGCTGCTACTTGCGTCGTCCACGACAGGCGACTCCTGGCGCGCTTCACCACGCGCCTGGTGTAGTACGGCGTTTTCCTTCCGTAGACGCTCCATCTCTGCAGTCATACCCTGCAAGTTGGCCTGCATCGCACGGAACTGTTGCATGAACTCGTTGAACTCGGCCTGCTCCATGTGCCTCAGGCTTCGTCGAACGGGCAGGGGGTGGCTCGCGATTTTTCTGACTTCGGTGAAGGCGTTAATGCTATCGTAGTCGGAGTGGAATAATCAGATCTATTCCACGGGCCGACCGCTTAACAGCCCACCAAGTCTATCGCTCCCCTTCTACAAACTACCCCGGAAACGCGAGGGTAACCTAGGACTTTAGGCTTTGATACCAAGTGTTATAAGTTGTGAAAGGAAAGAGTGCGCAAAACTCAATAATGCGGAAGTGATTACAACGTCTGAATGAACAACGAGGCCTAGGCACAATATAGCAAGGCTAGCTAGGCCGAGGTCGCGGGGTCGCGAGATGGTTGGGTGCAGGTTCGGGGTTGGAAAACCCGAAAGCGACGCGGTGGTGGCTCGGAAGGCGAGGTCGGCGGGCCGAGCCTGGTTTTCCGAAAGTCGGGGTTGTACGCGTACAGTGTGACCCAGTAAGGAATCCGGAAAATTCCTTACACTTATACTCACATCTGTTACACTTTCTGCACTCTTATACTCACATCTGTTACACTTTCTGCACTCTTATACTCACATCTGTTACACTTTCTGCACTCTTATACTCACATCGGTTGCAAGGTCAGTGACAACAAACTCCATCTCAATGCTTCCAGCAGGAATGCGCACACTGGTGAGGTGAGGTGCAGGGAGAGGGAGCAGAGAGAGTCGACTCAAAAGGTGAGGTGAAGGGAGAGGGAGCAGAGTGAGACACACACATTCCAAAGGAACGCACATGACAACGAAGAAACGCAATGAAGAAACAACCGGTCGAAATGCTGAATGGAAATGACATGGAAAATGATACTGAAGTTTCTCCCGTCCCCTCCCCTCCACTAGCCCCTCGCTCTTCTCACAAGCCTGGCTCACACCAAGATGTTGCAGAGTATTTTTGAGAATTCTCAAAAAACACCCCCTCCACTAGCCCCTCGCTCTTCTCACAAGCCTGGCTCACACCAACCGCCCACACACCAGCCCTCCTCTTTATCCTCACACTCCCTCGTCTTTTTCCTCCCACCACCCCTGCTCTCCTTTCTCACTTTCCCTCCTTTCTCACCTCCCAACAAACATCCTCTCTCCCCTCTCACATCCCCTCCTCAATTCCCCCTTACATCCCCTCCTCTCTCACTTCTCACATTCCCTCCTCTCTTATCTCACATCCCCTCCTCTCTTCACTCTCACATGCCCTCCTCTCTTCCCTCTAACATCCCCTCCTCTCTCCCCTCTCACCAACCCTCCTCTCTCCCCTCTCACCTCACCAACCTCCTCTCTCCCCTCTCACCAACCCTCCTCTCTCCCCTCTCACTAACCTTCCTCTCTCTCCCCTCTCACCTGCCCTCCTCTCTCTCCCCTCTCACCTGCCCTCCTTCACAAGCCCGCCCAGCCTGAACCGGTTGGCAGACGAGTTCTCTGCAAACTTCTCCAGAGCCTGCAAGGGCGGTGAGCAGGGGCGAGGGATGAGGAAAATGAGAATGAGTGAGGGATGAAGCAGATGGCGAGTTCTCTGCGAACCTTTCCAGAGCCTGAAAGGGAAGATGAGAAAGGGCATGACAAGCAAGGAGATGAGAAGGGGCGAGGGATACGGGAGGTGGGAAGGGGCGAGGGATGAGGGGACGAAAAGGGACGTGGGATGAGGGGACGAAAAGGGACGTGGGATGAGGGGGTGAGAAGGGGCGAGGGATGAGGGAGGTGAGAAGGGGCGTGGGATGAGTAACAGTAAACCCAACTCACCTGGGTGGGCGTTATATAGAACATCAAGTTTTCTTGAAACGAGTTCATCGCAAATATGGCCAGCCCAGCCACCGCGCCTCCACCAATCACAAGCGTCCACATTCGCTGCGTCTGCCGCGCGCGGGCCCTCGCCCCAATGTCCACATGCACTGCACCTGCCCCCGCCCCTGCCCCAACTTTTGCCTTCGCGCCCACAGCGCGTACGCGTCCCGCACTCGTTTTCAGCCATCTCAGACCCCCAATGTCCAGATTCACTGCACCTGCACCTGCACCTGCACATGCACCAGCAGCGCGTCCTCTCCCTCCTGCTCGCGTCACAGCACACGCGCCTCCCCCTGCTCCCCCGCTGCAGCCAAACACAAGCGCCCGCGAAGTTGAAAAGGCAGAGGGAGTGGAAACAGGTGAAGCTGCGGAGGAGGAGGAGAAAGAGGAGGAGAAGAGGGAGGAGGAGGGAACAGCAGCAGCAGAATGGGCGGCGGTTGGGGATCTGGCGGCAAGGTTGAGCACGCGGCGAATGATAGCATCTAGAGGACGGCTGACAGCTGCTGTTCTTGCCGCTGCCGCTGCGGTTTGCATGCTGGCGCCATTACACGCTGCTGCTGCTGATGACGATGACGACGATGATGACGTGTGAATCCGCGTTAGAAGGATCCTTGTCGCGTGTCGCACGCCGTCCGATCGAGACATAGCAACGATCGAAAGAAGCCGAATGATATCAACGGTCGACGTCAATGACTGGACACAGAAAGGTCCGTCTCACTGGCAGATCTGCCTTTGCTGGATCTGGTCCGTTGATCGGATATGCGTTGATGAGATTTGGACCGTTGACTGGATCTTCTCTCTGATGGGCCAGACAGCATCGGACGATCAGATATGGTTGATCTCGAGATCGAGATCGCGATGGCGGCGGATCGCGATGGCGGCGGATCGAGATCAGCCGTGGGATCGAGATCGCGATGGCGGCGGATCTACCGAACTCGAATGAAGACACGTGGCGGATGAGAGAGGTGTACAGGCACCTTGAAAATGCTCGCCTATACAGCACGCGTGCGCTATGTTGCGGTCGCACAGCGGCCGCGCTGCATAAATGAAGCCTGCGACACGAACAGCCCTGCCTAGACACAGCGAGAACAGAAAGAAACCTTGATGCGTGTAAAGGTTTTGTGTTCGCCTCATTCCAGACGGTGGTCCTTTGCTCTTGCCTCCCCAGCAAGAGGCCTTCGAGAATGACGAGGGAGCGGAAGAAGGCTGCGAAGTTTTCAAGGTTACGAAAACGAACATTCGGACCAATCAGACAACCAATTGAGAAATTGAGGTTGGTAACCGATTGTTCGCCTGTCTGCAGCCTGAGTTCGCAAAGCAGGCTTCCGCATCTCCAGGGATGGAGGGTGGGGGGAAGTCAATTGTGTGTGTGTGCTAGAACCCTTGGCATTTTCGTCATTTTTAATCCAAGCATCGAAACGCGAGTGCTGAACGGTGCGTCAAGCACTTCATCGCTTGGCCGACGCCATTCCATTCTACCATGGAACACCCACTGATCCGCATCCGACGGTCGGCAGAGGGGTCAGGCAGCGAAACGCGAGCGTCGAACGGTGCGCGTAGCACTTCATCGCTTTCTTCAACTGCAAGTTCGAAGCAGCCGGCGGCTGCTGGGGAGCTTGCACGCTGTGCAGTCCCTTTCTGCCGAAGCGTTGCTGTGTGTTTGTTAACGCGTGAGTAGATCTATAACGCAGTCGAGATGGGTCCATCAAAGAAGCTCAGGGGACCGGCCGTGCTCGAGGCTTTCAAGTTTCAGCCACTATACGTAGCTGGCCCTGGCTCAAGTCACAGGAAGGCGGTTTCTCTCATTGTGCCCTGCAAGCCAAGAAGCTCTGCACGTGGGCCATGTTCTTTGACGTGGACGAGTTTGTCTTCCCGGCACGGATGGTGAAGGAGATTGAGTCACGGAGCCTGTTCGCTGCTGGAAGTCAGTATTCCTTTCTTCTCAACAAGTTTGTGAGAGGTATGGTTAAGGGGCATGCTGCAGCAAAGAAGGCCGCAGGTAGAAGCGAGTCATGTCAACAGCTTGGGCAGATTGCGCTACCCGGCCTTTTGTTTGGCCCATCAGGTCATCAAGAACACCCAGAAAAGGGAGTGGTATCTGGATACACGTGCAGGCTGAAGCTTCCTGATCGTCACAAGTCAATTATTCTCACTGAAGCCATAGCTCCTCCGTTACACAATGTGATACACCACTTCACAATCTTGGAGCATCAGTACTGCACAGCACATGTGGGCAATAAGCGTGCTGCTCTTTTCCACTACAAGTACCAGGCATGGCCGGAGTTCAAGACCAAGTTCAGGAGGAGAGCTTCCACTTTTGTGCCTGATTGGATGCAGATGGATAGAATGCAGTCCAAGGATCGGGTTCCTGACTTGGGTGTTGAGGCGGTTGAACCTGCTGACTGGAAGGATCGGTACTGTGAGGAGAAAGATCCAAGGTTGAAGAGAATTTCAGCACAAATCTTATCAGCCACTTCCCGCTGGCGCTTTGCGAATGCGTTCAATGTCGTGCGCCACACCTTTGGGAAATTGTTTTTCTCATGTGGTGGACTTGTCTGATTGTGTGTAAGATGAAACAGCCTTCCTTCAAGAACTGTTACAGAACCTAATTCAATAAAATATAAAGATAGAATTTGAGGTGTAGTTTCCGATTGAAGACAGAATCGTCATAAAGACGCCACCAATCGTTGTTACTGCCCGGCTCACCCGCATATACGGATTGCTCCGTGCGGATCTGTTTCCTCGTCCATGTCTTCCCCCGCAGACATTCTGTCTGCTGACCTAGTGAGCTGGTGCGTCCCTTCCCGGCATATTGTGCTTCCGTTTTGTTTCATAGATTCTATACGTGTGATTCACAATTGCGCTGCTGTCCACCATTCGGACACACCCGAGAGTAGTTTATCCCAGAACCGCAATCTAGGGATCTAACATAGGGGATGTCAGATGTGAGTCTCAGCTGTCGCAGCAGCATCGAGTAACTCGCGCGTTTCTTCGCCTCTCACGGACCTCATTCACTAGAGGCGTTTAAAGCTTGTGAAATAGTAGAGATTCTTAGACCATGTCTGGTCTTGGCGTTTTAGCGCGGCGGCTTTCAGGCAGAAGGGCCCGCCAATGCCTTGGACACACGTGGCAGGGCTCAGCTTGTCAAATTGGTTGTACGCGTGGCTCTTTAGGGTTGGATAGTCCAGTCAGCATAAACGGTGACAGCAGCATTTGTAACAAAGTCACAAGGCAAACAGATAGAAGCAACAGCAGCAGCGCCCTTGTGGTTACCAGCAGTAACATCCCTGTGCTTACAAGCAGCTTGAGTACGGACACACAAATGTTGACCAACAATGCAGCCTGGGCCACAGCTGACGTGGCCGTGACCACATTTGACGTGGCCAACTGCAGTAAAGAACCTTGTCGCCACCAACCCTGGGCTTTGGCAAATTCCATGCCGCTCAGCAAGCCTGGTCACTGGGCTGTTGCCGAACCTCTTAGTTCGGCAGGCCATGTAGGCACAGCAGGCTCGGCAGCTGCTTCGGTTCAACTGCATGGCTTGGTTCGGAATGGGACAATCGCAGTTGGTGGCGATGGAATCCGAACGAGCGGCATTTATGGCGGGCTCTCTGTTGCTAGATTCAGCTCAGCGAAAGGTGAGATAGGTTGGGTTGTATTCACATGTGGTGTAATTCATTCAGCCACGTCATGAAGCTGAATTGATGTAGCAATGATCCGTTATTACGTTCAGAAGTGCCACGTCAGCATGTATTCCCTAGAACGAGGAATGGATGTGTGGTGATACTTTGGCCTGCCTCTGTGTGCATGCACATGCACTGATCATGCATGCGCCCATTTATTTGCTGATAATGCGTGCGCTGATGATCTTTCAGGTCGACGCACTGGCAAGGCAGCAGCAGTGCAGCACACGAGGGGCGAGGAGAGGGATGAAGACCCATTGCTTATTGTCCCTGTCACTGCATCTGCACTTGATCCGTGCAGGTCGGCGCACTGGCAAGGCAGCAGCAGTGCAGCAGGCGAGGGACGGAAAGGCAGGGAGAGGGGGGAAGGCGGAGGAGAAGAGTGAGGAGGACCTAGTCACAAGGAAGCAGCAGCTGCTGGAGCAAGCCGTTCAGGAGGTATGATGGTGGTGTGAGGAGGTATGGTGATGAGGAGGTATGGTGGTGCGGAGGTATGGTGAGGAGGTAGGTATGGTGAGGAGGTATGGTGGTAACCTGATTTCGAGAATTCTTGCAACAGCAGCAGCAGCTGCTGGAGCAAGTCGTTCAGGAGGTATGGTGGTGTGAGAAGGTATGAGGTGGGAGGAGGTATTGTAGTGTGAGGAGGTATGGTGAGGAGGAAAGGCAGGGAGAGGAGGGAAGGTGGAGGAGAAGAGTGAGGAGGACCTAGTCACAAGGAAGCAGCAGCTGCTGGAGCAAGCCGTTCAGGAGGTATGATGGTGGTGTGAGGAGGTAAGGTTTGGTGGAATGAGGAAGTTTGAGGTGTGAGGAGGTATGATGGAGTGAGGAGGTGTGAGGTGTGAGGAGGTATGGTGGAGCGAGGAGGTGTGGTGGAGTGAGCAGATATGGTCGTGCGAGCAGGTATAATGGTGTGAGAAGTAACGGAGGTGAGGAGGTGTGGTGGTGTGAGCAGATATGGTGCAAGACCATGCTATTCCACCGTCTCCTCTTCCCCACGTTCTCCTTCCCCTTCTCACCTTCCTCACACTCTCCTCCGCATTTTCTCCCTTCCTCTCACTCACCACCAGGACTGCTTTTTGCATTCCTCCCTCGCCCCACTCGCCCCTTCAGCTGCGAGCCAAGTCAGTTCAGGAGGCAGTTATGGTTCTGGGCGGCACTGATGCTGAGCTAGTCGCTCACCCCCCTTGTTTTGTCTCCCCCCACCCCACACACCTCTGCAGCTGCGAGCCAAGTTTGGGCGGGAGGCAGTGATGGTTCTGGGCGGCACTGAGGCTGACGCTCCTTCCCCACACGCTTTCCCATGCTCCCAACCCTTTCCCACCCTTCCCACGCACCCCTACAGCTGCGAGCCAAGTTTGGGCGGGAGGCAGTGATGGTTCTGGGCGGCACTGAGGCGGACTTGGCCGCCCACCGCGTCCCAGTCATCCCCTCAGGCTCCATCGCCCTAGATTCCGCCCTCGGGATTGGGGGCTTCCCTCGGGTGAGTCACGAGTTTGTGGGTGGGCACTGGGCAATGCACTGCATGCTCCAGGTGAATCTTGTTGCAATCAAACACTCACCGAAGCACCAATGCTGACCTGACCTTGCACCGCGTCCCGGTCATTCCCTCGCGCTCCATTGCCCTGGACTCCGCCCTTGGGATTGGGGGCTTCCCTCGGGTGAGTGTGTGTGCGGGCAACGCATGCGTGCTGTACATGCCTCCTACTGCAAGCAGTCGACTTTTGAGTCGACCCAAAAGTCAACATGCGTGCTGTACATGCCTCCTACTGCAAGCAGTCAGACACGTACTGAACCACCAATACCAACATGGCAGCCTGTTGCGTCCCGGTCATCTCCTCAGGCAGGCTCCATTGCCCTGGATGCCGCCCCTGGGATTGGAGGATTCCCTCGGGTGAGTATTTCTATGAGTACAATGCAAGTTTTAGGTGAATTCTGTTGGCAATCAGGCACTCACTGAAGCACAGATGCGTCCCACCAGAGCTCGAGTGCTTCCCTCTGGATGCTGACCTCTGCAGGCTGCCTTTTCGAGACGTCTCAAAACTCTTCTTTTTTCACCAGCCATCTTCTCGGATTGCAGCCGCACGCCGGTGCTTCGCGTGCTGCCTTTTCTTTTCGTATTCTTCGGTCAAGCCTTTTTCCATCAACAGTCGTTCGTTCTGTGGTGCCTTATTCTTTCTCTTCTACACGCACTCACCCCTCACACGCTCTTCCGCTTCTCTCCGTCCCTTTCCTCACCAGCCATTTGCAGCTGGCGCTTTTTCCAGAACAGTTACCCTTTTTTTGTGTTGTGGCAGCTCAACTTATGTATTCCTCGTACACGCCGTTCTTCTCTTTGCAAGCCTGCTTTCGCTAAAGATTAGACGCTTGCTTGGCAAACACTTTTGAGAATTCTCAAAAGTGATTTCAAGATTAGACGCTTGCTTGGCGAACTCGCACCGAAGGAGCAGAGGGGGGACGTAGGAGTAGGAGTAGCAGCTCAGCTACGTCCCCCCTCTGCTCCTTCGGAGGAGTAGCAGCTCAGCTAAAGAGTTGACATTACGCAACCTCCGAAGGCCCCGCACTTAGCAACCAACGTCTTTTTCTTTTATTTCCCTCTGTCACTCCATGCCTCTGTACCTTGGGCGTCCCCCGGGGCCGAGTGGTGGAGATCTATGGGCCCGAGGCAATGGGCAAGACTACCCTGGCACTGTTTTGAGACGTCTCAAAAGTCAACACATGCTTTCTTTTTTTCTCCCCTGGCATTTATTCGCCTGTCACTCTGTGCCTCTGTGCCTCTGTACCTTGGGCGTCCCCCAGGGCCGAGTGGTGGAGATCTATGGGCCCGAGGCAACGGGCAAGACAACCCTGGCGCTACATGTGGTGGCAGAGGCTCAGAAGAGAGGAGGTGAGAGAAGGGGAGTGGGTATGTGTTCTCACGCGTGTGTAGTGCTGGCAACATTGTGATTTTTTCGATTTCTCAAGAGGTTGTGGCGAAGGGCAACAGGCAAGACAACCCTGGCGCTACATGTGGTGGCAGAGGCTCAGAAGAGAGGAGGTGAGAGTGGGGAAGGAGAGGGGGAATGGGGGGGAGGGAGGGGACGGGGGGGTGAGTTGTGCTCGTGCATAGTGTTGGCAACATGTGACTGCTTGTATCGAAGGCAGCAGGCAGAGGCGCAGAAGCGAGGAGGTGAGTGGGGAGGGGATAGAGGGGAAGAGAGGGGGGTGTTGGCAACATTGTGACTGCTTGTGGCGAAGGCAACATGCAACACAACACTGGCGCCGCATGTGGTGGCAGCAGAGGCGTAGAGGAGAGGAGAGGAGTGTGAGTGGGGGAGGGAGGGGGGTAAAAGCAGGGGGCGCTGGGGGTGGACAGTGGACAGACATGACTCGCATTCACCTGTTCTGTTCATTCATTCATTGTCCCTCGTTCCCCTCACGGTCTCACCCATAACCCACCAACAGGAGCGGCCTACTTTGTGGATGCGGAGCATTCGCTCGACATCGACCTGGCCAAGGCCCTGGGGGTGGACATGACTCGCATCGCATGCACCTGTCTGTCTCCTTCATTGTCACTCGTTCCCTTCACTCCACTCCCAGGAGCGGCCTACTTCGTGGATGCGGAGCATTCACTCGATGTCGACCTGGCTAAGGCCCTGGGGGTGGACATGACTCGCATGCACCTGTCCCATTTGCTGTCCCTTGTTCCCAACACCCTAAACCTTAAATCTCAGGTGCAGCCTACTTTGTGGATGCGGAGCATTCTCTTGACATTGACCTTGCTAAGGCTGTGGGAGTGGACATGACCCGCATGCACCTCTCTCATTTGTTGTCCCGTGTTCCCAACAACCCGAAACCTCAGGTGCGGCTTACTTTGTGGATGCGGAGCATTCGCTCGACATTGACCTTGCAAAGGCCCTGGGGGTGGATATGACTCGCATGCACCTGTCTCAGCCTGATAGTGGGGAGACAGGCCTGGCTCTGGTGGATCAGAACGTCAGGAGCGGTGCCTATGACGTCATTGTGGTGGACAGCGTGAGTGGAACAAGGTTCCGATTTTCAGGTTTAGGGCCGGGTATGGGGTTTCAAGTTTAAGGCTCTGGGGGTGGAGTGGACATGAATCGCATGCACCTGTCCCACCTGATAGTGGCGAGACGGGCCTGGCTCTTGTGGATCAAAACTGGGAGGAAAGGGCTCGATGGATATGAAGGCCCATGCTGTTTTAGTTTTTTTTTTTCCGCAACGAATTCTTGACAAGAAAAATATTATTCGACGTGTCAAATCTGAATTCTTGCTTTGCTCCCATTAAGGAAGAGCGAGATGCTGCGTTAAAGCTGTAGTGGGAGGGTGGAGAAGTTGAATGCACAGTTGGAGAGTTCGAGGGAGAGGTGGAGGATGGAGGAGGAAGAAATGAGGGTTGAAATTGAAGAAATGAAGAGCAAATGGGAGGAGCAGAAGGAGGAGGCAAAAGAGGACTTGCTCCGCGCACCGCTGCCCTGCAGTGCTGAGCAAGTGGAGTCGTCTTTTGCCTCCTCTTTCTGCTCCTCCCATTTGCTCTTCATTTCTTCAATTTCAGCCCTCATTTCTTCTTCCTCCAGCCTCCACCTCTCCCTCGAACTCTCCAGCTGCGCATTCAACTTCCCCACCTCCCACTGCTTCTTTAACGCAGCATCTTGCTCTTCCTGAATGAGGGCAAAGCAAGAATTTCAGATTTGACACGTCGAGCTAACATTTTTCTTGTCAAGAATTTGTTGCGGAAAAAAAGACAAACAAACAAACAAACAAACAAAGCAGCATGGGCCTTCATATCCATCGAGCCCTTTCCTTTCGTGATTGTGGTGATAGTGCGAGTGCTTTCGAGTTGTGGGCTTCAGGATTACGGTTTACGAACAGTGGGGAGACAGGACTTGCTCCGGTGGATCAGAACGTTAGGAGCGGCGCCTATGACGTGATTGTGGTTGATAGTGTGAGTGGCGTAGGGATCTGGGAAATAGGTTTTCGGAGTGGATATGACTCGCATGCACCTGTCTCAGCCTGACAGTGGCGAGACAGGGTTGGCTCTTGTGGATCAGAACGTCAGGAGCGGTGCTTATGACGTCATTGTGGTTGATAGTGTGAGTGGTGGGGAGGAGCTTTAGGTGTTAAATGTCATGGCAAGGTTTAAGGTTCTGTCTTCTACCCTTCTTCTTTCCCCCCTTCTCTTCAATCATCAATTCTCCCTTGTTCTTACGACAGCTGGCAGAACTTGTACTGCACGCGGGAGCTGGAGGGAGAGATGGGAAACTCTTTCATAGCCCTGCAAGCGCGCATGATGTCTCATTTTCCTCACTTGTCCCCTCTTGCCCCTCCATGCTCCACTTTCCCCTCCATGCTCCACTTTCCCCCATATTGCTTGTGCAACACAGGTGGCAGCGCTGGTGCCCCAAGCCGAGCTGGAAGGCGAGATGGGAGACTCCTTCATAGCCCTGCAGGCGCGCATGATGTCTCACTTGGCCCTTCTTGACCTCCCATGCTCAACTTTCCCCGGTATCTTATTATCATTGCAGGCGGCAGCGCTCGGGAGACTCCTTTGTCACCCTGCAGGCCCGCATGGTCTCGTTGTCCCCTATGGGCCCCCCATCCCATGCTCCACTTTCCCCCATATTGCTTGTGCAACACAGGTGGCAGCGCTGGTGCCCCAAGCGGAGCTAGAAGGAGAGATGGGGGACTCCTTCGTAGCCCTGCAGGCACGCATGATGTCTCAGGCGCTGAGGAAGCTGTCAGGGGCGCTCAACCGCTCGCAGGCAGTGCTCATCTTCGTCAATCAGGTGGGTACAGTGCGGTTGGAATGGTAAGTGGGTGGGTGCAGTGCGCTCGAAGCTAATGATGGGAGGGCCGTGGATGGGCATGGCATGGTGGTGGAGGTGACGTCTGGAGGCATTGCTCCTCCCTTCCCTCTTCCCCGTGTCTCGCTGTCCACATGCAGGTGCGATCGAAGCTCATGATGGGAGGGCCGGGGATGGGCATGGCATGGTGGTGGAGGTGACGTCTGGGGGGAGTGCTCCTTCCCTAAACTCCTTCGCTCCTCCCTCCGCTCTCCCCTGTTCATGTTCAGGTGCGGTCGAAGCTCATGATGGGAGGGCCAGGCATGGGCATGCCGGTGGAGGTGACGTCGGGGGGGAATGCGCTCAAGTTCTATGCGTCGCTGCGACTGCACATTAAGAGAGTGGCGCAGCTGAAGCAGGGAGAAAAGGTGGGTTCAGCGCTCCTCTGTACCCCTCTGCACCCTAACTCACCCCTCAGCACCACTCAGCACCATCAAGCACTCCGCAGCATTTACTCGAGAGGGTGACGTAGATGAAGCAGGGAGAAAAGGTGCATTTATCAACTCCCAATCACCCCTCAGCATCCCACAGCACCTTGCAGCACCCCACAGCACCTTGCAGCTCCCCACAGCACCCTACAGCACTCAGGCATGGCATCCCTTTAGTGAGTGGCACACACTGGGACGATGCTCTCAAGTTCTATGCGTCTCTGCAGCTGCACATTGAGAGAGTGGCACAGCTGAAGCAGGGAGAAAAGGTGGGAAATCTCAAGCACCCCTCGGCACCCTGCAGCACCACAGAACAGTGCACCCTAAGGCAGTCAGGTTCTCTGCGTTGCTGCGGCTGCACATTAAGAGAGTGGCGCAGCTGAAGCTGGGAGGAGAGCTGGGTCCAGCGCTCCTCTGTACCCCGCTGCATCCCACAACATCCCATAACACCCCTCAGCACCTTGCAGCCCCACTCAGCACTCTACAGCACTCAGGTGTGACATTGAGATAAGCCAGCACTCACCACTCTATCAGAAAGGATAACGCCTAGACCTGCGGATGAGAAAAAAATCGCTCACACTCACTCCTCCTTTCCTTGCTCCCATCCTCTCGCTACCCCGTCCCCTCCCACTTTCCTTCTCCCCCCCTTCCCCCCTCCTGCTAACCCATCCTCACCTCTCCGCCTCAGATTGTTGGTAACCGCATGCGTGTAACGGTGAACAAGAACAAGCTCGCGCCGCCCTTCCGCACGGCAGAGTTCAGTATTTAGTTTGGTCACGGGACATATCCCAGGAGGGGGAACTGTTGGAGCTGGTAGTAAAGAGGGCCTTTTGAGGCGCCTCAAAAGAGGGCTGGGAGTAAAGAGGGCCTTTTGAGGCGCCTCAAAAGAGGGCTGGGAGTAAAGAGGGCCTTTTGAGGCGCCTCAAAAGAGGGCTGGGAGTAAAGAGGGCCTTTTGAGGCACCTCAAAAGAGGGCTGGGAGTAAAGAGGGCCTTTTGAGGCGCCTCAAAAGAGGGCTGGGAGTAAAGAGGGCCTTTTGAGGCGCCTCAAAAGAGGGCTGGGAGTAAAGAGGGCCTTTTGAGGCGCCTCAAAAGAGGGCCGGGAGTAAAGAGGGCCTTTTGAGGCGCCTCAAAAGAGGGCTGGGAGTAAAGAGGGCCTTTTGAGGCGCCTCAAAAGAGCGCTGGGAGTAAAGAGGGCCTTTTGAGGCGCCTCAAAAGAGGGCTGGGAGTAAAGAGGGCCTGTTGAGGCGCCTCAAAAGAGGGCTGGGAGTAAAGAGGGCCTTCTCACTCTCACTCCTCATTTCCCTTTTACCTCCATTCCCTCCCGTTCTCTCCTCGCTTCCCCCCCACCCCTACCCCCCTCCCCTGCTAACCTATCCTCACCTCTTCGTTGTAGATTGTTGGTAACCGCGTGCGCGTAACGGTGAACAAGAACAAGCTTGCCCCGCCCTTTCGCACGGCAGAATTCGACATTGAGTTCAACCACGGGATATCCCGGGAGGGGGAACTCCTAGACTTGGAGATGAGTTAGGGCCTGCTCACACTTACTTCTCCTCCCTCCCTTCTCCCATGCTCTTTCTACCTCCGTCCCCCCCCCATTCTCTCCTCCCTTCCCGCTCCCCCCGCTTCTCCCCTGCTACCCCATCATCCCGTTCTCTGCCTCAGATTGTTGGTAACCGCGTGCGCGTAACGGTGAACAAGAACAAGCTTGCTCCGCCCTTCCGCACGGCAGAATTCGACATTGAGTTTGGGCACGGGATTTCCCGGGAGGGGGAACTCCTGGATTTGGGGGTGAAAGAAGGCTTGCTTACGCTCTCTGGAGCGTGGTACAAAAAGGATGGCGAAGTGATCGGGCAGGGGAAGGAAGGCGCGAGGAACTTTCTTAAGGAGAATGTGGAGGTTGCAAGGGAGCTTGAGGAAGGGATTAGGGAGAGGCTGGGTGGACGGAAGAGAGAGGGGGATGGGGAGGGTAAGAAGGGGGGAGTGGAGGAAGGGAAAGGTGTGGAAAGTGGAGAGGGAGGGGGAGAGGAGGGAAGTGGGGAGGAGACTGAGGGAGAAGAGATTGGTTTGGAAGTTGATGACAGCACTGTTGTCACTGGAGTGTCCGGTTAACTAGAGCATATGCTTTTGGGCTGTCTTAAGGGCATCTTCCTACGCTCTTATCAGGCAAACCCCTTGTCAGGCTTGCCTGGTAAAAGTTGCGAAGGCTTTTGGGTTTACGGAAATTTCAGTGTGTTGTGACGCGAGCCTGATCAGAGGTTGGCCTGATAAGGGGCTGTAGGAACATGCCCTTAAAAGGGATTCTGTGCTGGTAATTGTAGTGGAATTTGGTCTGGTATTGGTATTTTTTTTCCTCCATGGCATAGGCTCAAAATAACCATCATCATCAGCGGATAGATGTCAGGTCCATGGTGAATGAGACCAGCAATTTACGTCACGGAATGGTGCACCGCACGAATAAAGATGAAATCACTTCACCTATAAGAAAGTAGAAAGATTGCATGTACCTCCGCCCGACATATTTATCGACTCCTCTCAAGATGACCTCCAGGTGACCAGTCATGATCACTAGCCACCTGATTCAGCTGGCAATCATGTGGCCACCTGCAATGCAACCTTCCAATCCAACAAAGCACACCTGACGAATCACTGTAGCGTCAACTGACGAATGTGTGTTCGCTGGTCTGGGCAAACGCCGCCGACATCGGGGGCGTGTCCGGCGAAATTCGTTTGAACAGGTCAGCTGGCGAAACTATTCTCATAAGTTTTCGTTTCACGTACAGGGTTTTTCTCTTGTGCGGGAAGTTACAAAGCGGAGAAATCCGAACACCCATTCTACCGTTTAAAATACTACTGAACCGAGCTTTAGAGAGGTGTGGTGTAGACCTGACATCAACCCTCGGCCTGTGAGCCGTGCGTGACCTCGTCTTGCTTGCTTTCTGCACAATCCATCCATCCATCAAAGCTTTTTGTACACTTCGGAGCCTGGTCTGGTCTGGTGCTGCTGATTGCTGAATCCTAGTGCCGGAGATTTGTTGCAGAATCCATCTTCCACGCGTTCCTGCTGACGAGGATAATAAGCCTGGCTTACTGATACGGGACAACGAAAGCATAAGGCTCCACTCGCAACATCCGCTCTAGCCGATTCTCCTTTTTCCCGCGCGCTGACCGCTTTACGGCGGAACTTCCGATTTCTGTCACGGTTCCTCGCGTCACGACACTCTTCTGTTGATTGATCCGTCTTATTTGAGTTCCGGACACCCTCACGTGTTCTAGAAACCTTTCAAGACGTTAGTCATGGCGGGAACAGCATCGGAACCACGCATTTTCGTTCCATGGCCGTCTCATTTCCCCGTAAACTCGTACTGGACTCGACTCACCTCGCACCGATCTCGTTCCATCTCACACCGCATCAGATCCATCGTCTCCCGGTCCCAGATTGTCGCGGTCATCGCATTGTCGCTGCTCGCTTTCGCAACTTCGACTGTGCGATCCTCCCCGAAATCTCCTCGTAGCGCCGTTCCTTCAACCACTTCTCACAGTACCGTTTCGTCTTCGACGTCTCAGAATGTACCCCCTTCGACGAAGTTTCCGATGACGTCGCGTAACGTTGAGCCGTCGCGGCAATCGTTTCCGGTTTCCATCTCTAGCGCCCCTCCGTCCATCGATCCTCGTCCGTCCATCGATTCGCGGCCGATCGGTTCCCTGATTCCAGACGAGGAAGATGACGTGGCGCCGTGGAAGTTAGACGATGACGAATCACACGATTTAGAGCCACAAGTTTCCGACACAGGAGGGGGACGGATCGCCGCACGAACGGCGCAGATCACCGAAGGAGCGCGGCGGATCGCCGCAGGCAGCGGGGGAGGCGACGAGCAGAGCGGCGAAGTCCTCCGCAGAAAGCTTATTTCGGTTGACGCGCGCGAGGGTGCCTTTCCGCCGCGCAGGAGGCTGGGTGCGGGCGATCTGCGGGGGGGGGGCTTTTCGCGGCGGAAGCGGTGGAAGGAGCGGCTGGTGCGCAAGCTGGGTCCGGGGAAGAACAATCTCCGCGAGTACCTCCGCGCGGAGGGCTCCCTGCGGTCCGAGAATCTAACTACACGATACCTAATGGAGTCGCTACACCACGTGTTCTTAGACTATCACAACCAGTCCCACCAGCAGACGGAGGATATGCATATTAGGTGCAAAGGCGGCGAGTGCCCGGATTTCCAGCAGTGCTCGGGGAATTTCACCTCTGTAGACGCGTGCCACTGCCCGGATATGGAAGATTTGAGCCGGCGGGCAGCTTTACCGCCGCTGAACTGCCCGCGAATAAAGAAAGTTATGGTGGATTCGCCGTTAAATATCAAGCCAGTGAAGATATTGTTTGATCCGAACTGCTCTCACGCGGAGGATGATATTCCGCATTTTGCGTGGGTGAGCCAGATGTTCAACCTGCGCCACGTGTACTTCAACTCGCGCGGACAGGCGTTTAATGATTCGTTCCTCTACGATAGAAATGGCTGCGGCAGCGAACACAAGGTGAGAGGTGGAGAGGTGGTGGAGAGGTGATGGAGAAGAAGGTAAGAGGAGAGGAGCACAAGGTAAAGCATTATCGCTTTTGTGGCACTTTGCGTGGGTGAGCCAGATGTTCAACCTGCGCCACGTGTACTTCAACTCGCGCGGACAGGCGTTCAATGATTCGTTCCTCTACGACCGCAACGGCTGTGGCAGCTAACAAAAGGTGAGAGGTGGAGAAGTGGTGGAGCACAAGGTGAGAGATGGAGAAGTGGTGGAGCACGACGTGAGAGATGCGGGGCACAAGGTAAAGTATGTTCTCTCCCTTTTGATGGCTGAGGACAAGGTAATACGTACGGAGCTCAAAGCAATATGTTTTATGATTCTAGAACGCGTAGCACAAGATAAACGAACTGAATCATCAAGCATTTTCCCCTGTTTCTCAACTGAAACTACAGCTCTACCTACACCTGTCCGCCCTACTAACCTTCTTCCCTTTCCCCCCACCCCCACCCCTCCCCTCACCTTCCTCTCCCCCAACCCCATCCCGCCACCTTCCCCTCTCCTTTCCCCGCCCCCACCCCTCCGTGCCTTCCTGCCTTGTTCCCTTTCCCACCTCTTGTTGCAGTTCGACATCCCAGAAGGTACCAGAGTCACGGTGTACGATAGAATCATAAACCTGGCGCATTGGAACGCGTACCAGTTCTACCACGGCATTCTCGAGCTCGTGCCCGTCTTCTTCATGCTCTCCAAGGCGCCGCACCTGCTGCGCGCGCTGCCCATCGCCGTGCAGTACCTGCAGATGGACTTTTTGGAAAAACTCGGAACCTTTTTCATTGGGATGGAGATGGTTCACATGGACCTGAGGGTGGTTCCGGACGACGAGGTGTTCTTCGCTCATCAGGTGCTGCAGGTACGGCTGTCAGGGTTTAGGGTTTAGGCAGCACCTGCTGTGCTCACTGCCCATCGCAGTGCAGTACCTGCAGATGGACCTTTTGGAAAAGCTGGGGACCTTTTTCATTGGCATGGATATGGTGCATATGGACGTGAGAGTTGTTCCGGACGACGAGGTGTTCTTCTCTCACCAAGTGCTGCAGGTAAGCCCCTCCTTTCCACCACACTGACGCACCAACGCACCATAGCACGAGACAAGGCGCCGCACCGGCTGCGCTCGCTGCCCATCGCCGAGCAGTACCTGCAGATGGACTTTGTGAAAAAATCTGGGCACCTTTTTCATCGGCATGGAGATGGATCACATGGATTTACGCGTGGTACCAGACGATGAGGTGTTCTTCGCTCATCAGGTGCTGCAGGTACGGCTGTCAGGGTTTCGGGTTTAGGCAGCACCTGCTGCGCGCTCGGCCCATCGCCGTGCAGATGGCCTTTCTGGGGACGTTCTTTATCGGCATGGATATGGTTCACACGGACCTGAGGGTGGTGCCGGACGACGAGGTGTGTTTTGCTGCAGCACTTGGTGGACCAAGTGCCGCAGGTATGCCACGGTGCCACCTGTCCTGCTGCGCGCTGCCCATCGCCGTGCAGTACCTGCAGATGGACTTTCTCGAGAAGCTAAGGACGTTTTTCATCGGCATGGAGATGGTGCACATGGACTTACGAGTGGTGCCGGATGATGAGGTGTTCTTCGCCCATTAAGTGCTGCAGTACGCCTGTTCCCCCTAGCACGCCAAACACCAGGGATGAAGGTTCAGAGTTTAGGGCTTACACTGTGCCTGTTGCGCGCGCTGCCCATCATGGACTTTCTCGAAAAGCTGGGGACGTTCTTCAGGTACGCCCGTGCTCTCTCCAGCACACCAAATACCAGGGGTGAAGGTTCAGGGTTCAGGGCTTAGGGTGTAGGCTGCACCTGCTGCGCTCGCTGCCCATAGCAGTGCAGTACCTGCAGATGGAATTCCTGGAAAAACTGGGAATCGTTTTTCACTGGACGCCCCCTTGCTGCAATGGAACTACTGGGAACTTTTTTTTATCGAAAAAAAAAATAACATGGACTGCCGGACGACAAGCTGTTCTTCGCTTGTCAAGTGCTGCAGGTATGCCGCCTTTCTGCCGCCCGCTCGTTCGAACCGAGTGCTGCTGCAGCGGGTGTTCCGTTCCGCCTGTGGTGTGCTAGCTATCCAACACACCAGGCCACGTGAACGAATGCTGGTTCTGATCTGAGACGTCTCAAAACCAGCATTCTTTTGCTTGTGCTGTACTCCCCAACACACCAATTCACCAGAATCACCAGAAGCTGAAGTCTAAGGGTTCGGGGTACAGGGTTTAAGGAATAGGGTTTAGAATTTCCGCCCCTTCATTCCCCCCAACCCTCGCTTCCCCCCTCTCCATCCCCTTCACTCGACCCCTCGCTTTTTCCCCTCCCTCCCGCTCTTGCCCCCACCAGCCCTACAACCGGTGGTGCGGGTGGCCCAGTTGCCCCCACCCACGCACCCCCCAATTAACTCCCCGCTCCTCACGCTTCCTCCCCCTCCTCCCCCTCCTCCCCCTCCTCCCCCTCCTCCCCCTCCTCCCCCTCCTCCCCCTCCTCCCCCTCCTCCCCCTCCTCCCCCTCCTCCCCCTCCTCCCCCTCCTCCCCCTCCTCCCCCTCCTCCCCCTCCTCCCCCTCCTCCCCCTCCTCCCCCTCCTCCCCCGCCTCACCAGCCCTATTACCAGTGGTGCGGGCGGCCCAGTCGCTCCCTCTGGCGTCACTTCCGTCGGCTGTATCTGCTGCCACCTGATGGCCTCCCCATGTTCCTCCCTGATTGGGCCCCTCGCGTCAACAGCGCCATGCAGTCATACTCCATCGGCTTCCCAGGTGAGCCTGATCTGATATGGGTTGACCAGCGTGACCAGCGTTGGCCAGCGTTGACTAGCATTGACCTCCATGTTCCTCCCTGATTGGGCTCCGCGCATCAACAGCGCCATGCAGTCATTCTCCATTGGCTTCCCAGGTGCGTCCTGTGCCTTGCCAGGTGCGTTCCGCTTGCATGTTCCATAGAATCGCACGCTCGCATTCCATTCCATCTTCTCCCTTGGAGCCTCCCTTGCCTCTATCTGCTGCTGCCCAATGGCTTTTGAGGTGCCTAAAAAATCATTTCACCATCTTTCTTGGAGCCTCCGATGGCCTCCCCGTTTCCTCCCTGATTGGACCCCGCGCATCAACAGCGCCATGCAGTCATACTCCATCGGCTTCCCAGGTGAGCCTGATCTGATATGGGTTGACCAGCGTTGACCAGTTTTGACCTCCGTGTTCCTCCCTGATTGGACGCCGCACATCAACAGCACCATGCAATCATACTCCATTGGCTTCCCAGGTGAGCCTGATATGGGTTGACCAGCGTTGACCAGCGTTGACCAGTGTTGACCTCCTTGTTCTTCCCCCCTGATCAGACTCCGCCCATCAACAGCACCATGCAGTCAAAGACAGCCTCCTTCCCAAGTGCGCCTGTGCGTTGACTAGCGTTGACCAGCCTTGACCAGCGTCGACCATCGTTGACTAGCGTTGACCACTGGACCCCTCTCTCAACAATCCCCCTTGTTCCTCCCTATGTGGCGATTCAACACCACACGTGTGCACTGGGGCAGCAAGGGGAGGTGGAGGAGCTGTTGTGTGTGTACGGTCGTTGCTGTGCTTGAGTGCTCCTTCTCATTCCCCCAATTGTCTCCGCTCTGGTATGCTCCCCTCTGTGTCTTCCCAGGTGCACCTGCGGACTGGGTGGTGGTGCTGGCACAGAGATACAACATGCGGGGGCGGGCGCTGGAGCAGCAGGAGGTGGAGGAGCTGTCGTGTGCGTATGCTGTGTCCTCGTACCTCCCCTCATTCCTGTGCTGACCTTTCCACTGTCTTCTCTGCTGTCGCTTGTCTGTTGTCTTCCCAGGTGCACCTGCTGACTGGGTGGTGGTGCTAGCACATCGATACAACACTCGGACAGTGGAGCAGCTGCTGTGTGTGTGTCCCCTCTGCCCTCATATCTCTTTTTTCTTTTATTCCTGTGATGTCGCTTCTCACTCTACAATGTCAGGTGCCCCTGCGGACTGGGTGGTGGTGCTGTGCTGGCACAGCGATACACACACACGGGCGCTGGAGCAGCATAGGCAGGTGGAGGATCTGCTGTGTGTGTATCCCCTGTGCCTTCATCTCTCTTCTTATTCCTGTATTGTCGGTTCTCCATTGTGTCTTCCCAGGTGCCCCTGCGGGCTGGGTGGTGGTGCTGTGCTGGCACAGCGGTACAAAACACAGGCGCTGGAGCAGCATAGGCAGGTGGAGGAGCTGCTGTGTGTGTATGGCAGTGGTCGACCGCCTCGTTCCATTCCTGTGCTCTGTTGCCTGTCCCCCACTCTCCCTACTGTCTTCCCAGGTGCCCATGCGGATTGTGGTGGTGCTGGCACAGCGATACAACACGCGCGCACTGGAGCAGCATGGGGAGGTGGAGGAGCGGCTGTGTGTGCGTGTTACCTGTGCCCTCATATCGCTTCTCATTGCTGGGTTGCCGTTATTTGCTGTGTGTTCACAGGTGCGCCTGCGGACTGGGTGGTGGTGCTGGCACAGCGATACAACACGCGCGCACTGGAGCAGCATGGGGAGGTGGAGGAGCGGCTGTGTGTGCGTGTTACCTGTGCCCTCATATCGCTTCTCATTCCTGGGTTGCCGTTATTTGCTGTGTGTTCACAGGTGCGCCTGCGGACTGGGTGGTGGTGCTGGCACAGCGATACAACACGCGGGCACTGGAGCAGCATGGGGAGGTGGAGGAGCTGCTGTGCACTCTCTTCCCTCGAGAGCGGGTGGTGGTGTTTGACGGCAGCCTGCGCATTGCTGATGGTGAGAGGGGGAAAGGAAGGGAATCTTGCTCCCCTGTGATTATGATGGGATATGGTGGCACTGCAGCAGCACGGGGAGGTGGAGCTGCTGTGCTCTCTGTTCCCGAGAGAGCGTGTGGTGGTGTTTGATGGCAGCCTGCGCATTGCTGATGGTGAGATGGCGAAAAGTGGTTGTGTGTGTGGGTTCTGCGGAGGACGGGTAGAGCAGTTGCTGTGCTCTCTCTTCCCGCGAGAGTGGGTGGTGGTGTTTGATGGCAGCCTGCGCATTGCTGATGGTGAACGGGCGATTGGGGTATGTGCGGAGAGGAGAGGGGGCAGTGGGCTATGATTCAAGCTATCAGTGAATGTGGGGTCTATTAAGGTTGCATGCGCGCATTATGTCACTGCAGCAGCGAGGGCAGGTGGAGGGGCTGCTGTGCTCTCTGTTCCCTTGGGAGTGGGTGGTGGTGTTTGAAGGCAGTCTGCGCATTGCTGATGGTGAGCGGGAGAAGCGTGGGCCGAACTGGGGGGGGGGTGGGGGAGGGGGGGGGCCTGTTCTGTTGGTCGCCGTGCTCTGAGCAGCGCTCATCAGGTGACTTTTGAGTCGACTCAAAAGTCGCCGTGCTGTTCATCTCTGTGCTGTTGTGTTGGTCGCCGGGACCAACACAGCAGCGTTCATCTCTGTGCTGTTGTGTTGGTCGCCGGGACCAACACAGCAGCGTTCATCTCTGTGCTGTTGTGTTGGTCGCCGTGCATGGAGCAGCGCTCATCAACGCCATCTTCATGCCAACACCCTCCCTCCCAATCATCCCCGATTTTCCCCAACTTTCTGCAATTTCCCTACCCTGCATGCAGCCAATTTCCCTACCCTGCATGCAGCCAATTTCCCTACCCTGCATGCAGCCAATTTCCCTACCCTGCATGCAGCCAAGGCGCTCTTCCGTCGACCCGTGCTGTTCGTGGCAGCGCACGGGGCAGCGATCACCAACGCCATCTTCATGCCGTTCAAGTTGGTCCTGCTTGAACTGCGCCCCAGGGACTTCCACAAGGCGTGCACAGAGGTGCAGGGAGCAGTGTCTCTCGCACTCGCCCACACCATCTCCTCTCCACGGCAGCGCCCCTTGCAACATACCAGTGCCTTCAGCAACATTCCACCCTCTTCTTCCTCCCAATCCCCTCCATTATTCACCACCTTGCAGCCAAGGCTCTGTTCAATCGGGCTGTGCTCTTTGTTGCCGCACATGGGGCAGCGATCACCAATGCCATCTTCATGCCGTTCAATCAAGTCACCCCCCTCCTATCTCCCCTCTTCTTCCTGCCAACCCCCTCCTATCGCCCCCACCTCTCTTGCAGCCAAGGCCCTCTTTAATCGAGCCGTGCTGTTTGTTGCCGCACATGGGGCGGCGATCACCAACGCCATCTTCATGCCGTTCAAGTCGGTCCTGCTTGAACTGCGCCCCAGGGACTTCCACAAGGCGTGCTACCACCACCTGGCCGAGGTGTGCGACCTGCAATACTTGCTGCTGCTGTGTGAGGGAGCCAAGGACACGCCTCTTTCGTGTGATATGGGTGAAGTGAGGAGGGTATTAGAGGAGGTGCAAGGGCGTGTGGATAAAGTGCTGGAAGAAGGGCCGGAGGTGCAGCTGGAGGAGGAGGAGGAGGAGGAAGGGCAGCGTTGACTGGCGTTGACTTGGCAGCTGGGGCGTGCTACCACCACCTGGCGGAGGTGTGCGATCTGCAATACTTGCTCCTCTTGTGCAATGGAGCTAATGACACGCCTCTGTCATGTGACATGAATGAAGTCAAGACTCTGCCGGAGGAGGTGCGAGGGCGCGTGGATAAAGTCCTGGAAGAAGGGCCGGAGGTGCAGCCGGAAGAGGAGGGGAAGGGCAGCGCTGACCAGTGTTGACCAGCGTTGAACAGTGTTGACCGGTGTTGACTTTGCGGGAGGGAGTGCTGACTGCAGAGCCAGAGCTGTCATGTGGTGGTAAGCTGCCATGTGCTTTTAGATGTTTGTACAGCCCCGCTGTATGATTTCGTTAACTTTTTGCAAAGTCTGCAACTTCAGTGACTCCGACGTCGTCTTGCTTGTGAGCCACCTCACGCCCCGTGTTTCCAGAGTTCTATAATGTTCATGATCGTATCTCATATCTTTGCTTGTTGATGCCTTTCTCTCAGAGTCGTGGGATGGGGTCTTCGTCAACTGATTTTTACCAAGTAGATCAGCAGCTGCAGCACCCGCACCTCTCTGATGTTGAAAACCCGAGTCTCATAATTTCTACTGTATTACACTTGGTTGGGAGTTTGCACCTGGGATTGGTGCATGCACGAGCAGCGAAATTTTGCACGAGAGGAGGGGTGATCTGGGCGAAACCAGAACACTGTACCCTCAACACCAAACCAACCGCCCTAACCTGTTGACACAGCCAAACCTTTGCACACAGGTTCGTCATGTTTGACACTCCCTGCGACAAACCCAGACGACGGAAACAGAACACACATTTTCGCGCATTGTGATTCCCCTCCACCACATCCTCCTCCACACTAGCCCCTTCAAGGTTTATAGTACCACACCGTCATTACTGCTCATGCGCACGTAAAAAGCTCCGTTCAGAAATAGCTGTAGGAAACCACCAATGTCGGGTCAAGCGGATAATGGGCACGTCGCAAGTGGAATGGCGGAATCCTCCGATGCCGTTGCGGATCGAGGCGCCGTGGAAACCGCGCGTGAGTAGAACACCAGCCTCCCCCACTGCTTCCCGCGCATTTGCCTCTACAGTCTCGCACCCCCACCCCCCTGGTAGCCATCGTCGTTCTCACCTGGTCTCACTCTCCTATTCCCCACCCTCGCCCTCCGCGCTTCCCCACAGTCGCAACTCCCATTTCTCCACGCAATCACTCCCCTTCCCCGTCGCTTTCTCTCCCCTTCCCCCTCACTATCACTCCCCATCCTCGGCGCGTTCCCTCCCCTTCCCCCTCGCTAGCGTGCCCGTCCCCCCCCCACGCTCGCCCTCCCCTTCCCCTTCGCAATCACTCCCCTTCCCCATCGCCGTCTCCTCCTTTCCCCCTCGATAGCTCTCCCTCCACCGCTAGCACCCCCCTCCCCCGTCGCTATCACTCCCTCCCCGTCACTATCACTTCCCTTCCCCCTCGCGACCATTCCCCCACCCCGTCACTGTCACTCCCCTTCGCTATCTCATTCTCTCCCCTTCCCCCTCGCTCGTGTGCACGTTCCCCCCCCATTCGCGCCCTCCCTGACCCCCGTCACTATCACTCCCCCTTCTCGTCGCGTTCTCTCCCCTTCACCATCACTAGCACTCCCCTGTATCGTTGCTTGCAATCCTCTTTACCGTCACAATCATTCCCTTCCCCGCTCGCTAGCACTCCCATTCCCCCTCGCTATCACACCCCCTCTTCGTTGCAAGCACTCCCCTTCCCCTTCGTGGGCGGTCCCCCTTCCCCTCGCCGTGTACTCCCCTTCCCCGCACTAGCACTCCCCCTCCCCTTCGCAAGCACCCCCTTTCCCCCTCGCAGGCGGTCCCCTTCCCTATCACTAACACTCCCCTCAATCGTCGCTTGCAATCCCCTTTCCTGTTGCTTTCATCCCCCTTCCCCGTCACTATCAATCCCCTTCCCCCCTCGATAGCACAACCCTTCCCCATCGCTCGTACTCCCCTTCCCAATCACGAACACTCCCCTCAACCGTCGTTTGCAATCCCCCCTTTCCGTCGCCATTATTCCCCTTCACCATCACTAGCACTCCCTTTCTCCCCTTGTATGAACCTCATAGCAACGTATTAGCACTCCTCTATCCTTCCTTCCTCAACCCCACTGCCACATATAGCAGTGGTTGTTTTAGCCACGAACAAATACACACCCCCTGGCACCCGGAACGCGTGACCCGCGCCCCGCTACCACTGCCATCCGCATGTGTGCGTGCCATCCGCATGTGTGCGTGCCATCCGCATGTGTGCGTGCCATCCGCATGTGTGCGTGCCATCCGCATGTGTGCGTGCCATCCGCATGTGTGCGTGCCATCCGCATGTGTGCGTGCCATCCGCATGTGTGCGTGCCATCCGCATAGGCAGCCTGATGCTCACCCTCAATTTTTTCTTTTTACTCTGACAACACTTTGGCCGCAAACTAGCTAGTCTGGGCCTTCTTTAAGAGTTCAATGTTGAAAATATGATGACTCTGAGCTCTCAGGGCTGCTAGATGGAAGTAAGAGTCGCGATTTTGTTTCTCTTTTGTATGTTTTTGGCATGAGGGAATCAACTTGGCGGGCTGCTGCAAGTGGAGAAAAGAATGACGCGAGGGGGCATATGGGCTTGCGCTGACTGTTGCGAGCTGCCAAGCGTGAGCTGGCAGCAGGCAAAAACTGATGGTGCCGGAGAGCCGGGCAGTTCCGCAAGTAACAGATTGTTCTCTAACAGACTTACACTTCGTATGCATCAACGTTATTTCCCTGTAATAAACAGTGCGATACTCAACATTTTACGAAATTTTGTTTCCTACAGATTCGCTTTTCTATTCACCAATTCGTTGAGCGATCGGCCAATAATATAATTTTGTCTCAGGTAGTTCTATACGCTTCAACGGTATTTCTGTGATTTCAACGACACTTTAGTGTACCCGGGTGTCCCCAAGGCGCAGGGTGCTTTCCTCTGCCCCCTCAGAGGCGGGTGCATCGAGAAGAGTTTCCAAGAAACTTCGTCCCGATACACTCCCATTCAGGGCCCACAAAGTCGATACTCAGTAGTAACAGGCTCCGCGAAAACTATACTCTGAAGTACATTACAGAAAATCAGGGCCCCTAAAACAATTACTCCGAAGCACTCAGGGACAAGAAATAATATATTTTTTCAACACACATTGTGTTTTTTTATAGTGTTTTGTGAAAGCGAAGCTGCTTGTACTGCACAATTGGCATCGTCGAAGCGCGCTAAACGCCCTTCTCCAACAACAAAAACCGTGGGTTGGAGTTCATTTCCCTCCACCCACGTTTCTCGATTTTCAAACGGCTCACTCAACATTTCCGCTCGACTAGTTTTTCCCTCCAAGCTAGCTAGGATTAAATTGCTTCCTAGAGGCGAGTCATCCTCTACTTTACTCAGTGACATTTTCAACTTCAATCGCTCAACGATGGCACCTACGTCGACACTTAACAACGGGAACTCGTCAACCCCCGCCTCCGACTCCGGCCGTAACGCCCGCGATTCTACGGGCGAACGCCGTAACAAGAGTCGGGCAGAAGACGGACAGTCCGCCCCGACTGCAGTGGACGTGCTGCTGAGCGGGCTCGAGGTCAACAAAAAAGCCGAAACCCAGCAGCACCCTTCGGTGCTTGTGGCGCCAGTGGCGCCTGTGGCGCCAGTGGCACCTGTGGCGCAAGTGGCGACGGCAGCTGGCGCGGCACACGCGAATGACGCCGAGCACCCGCGGCTGGACCGTCGCGTCAGCGCCAGAGGAGGCGGACTGCAGTCTCCTCATCTGACACGACCGCCGCCCCTGCGCTTATGCAAGCGTTGACCCCGGACCAGGTCAACGCGCTGCTGTCTCTTCTACCGCAGCAGTCCGTCAGCGTTACAGCCGTGGAAACTGCACTACCTATCGCATCTGCGTCGGCTAAAAAAGAAACTGCAAAAAATGAAAAAGGCACGCGAGGAGCACGGACGAACCGGCATGACAACGACGCAGCGACCGCTGCTCCCCCAGCTCCAGCGGTCGACAACGTCACCGACGACTCTAAAGATGAAGTCAGGGAGGTAGATGGTCTGCTATTCAGTGGCCCTTCCTGCTTGTTTTTGCTGCGATCAGATGTTGATCGAACTCAGGATCACCTCAGGAAGGTTCGCACACTACTGATCTAGTGTTGGTGGGCCCTTGACCTCAATAGCAGAGTGAATGTAAATGCTTGAGATGAATTAAAACATGCAAGTACAAGGAATATAAATAAGAGTACAGGGGAATTTGAATCCACCTAGCTAGCCATGGCGACTCCGGGTGGTTACGAAACTGTTCGGGCAGAATCCTCGCCACTGCTGCTGCCTGATGCTGTCTGCCCGACGGTCCAGTTGCTTTCGTAACCGTGCGACCTTTCGTATTGCTTCCGCCCTTTCGACTTCAACCTCGGTAGTGCGTTCTTCGCTTGCTGCGGTGAGGAGAGCACAGTGATGTTTCAATAATCACTATTCGTAACACCCCCCTTCACTCCTGGTCGTAGCAGGTATTGACCCGCTTGACTACTCCGCTGAGTTCGGAGCAGTGCTGGTACTGCTGACGCGGCAGTTTCTTCGTGAGGAAATCTGCTGCCATGTCACCCGTTGGGCAGTAGGTTAGGTCAACCTTGCCCTTGTCAACTTCGTCCTTGACGAAGAAGTTCCGCAGCGCGATGTGCTTGGTGCGGTTGACGAAACCAGGTTTGTTCGCGATTCTGATCGGGCTCTGATTGTCGCAGTGCAGGCGGAAGTTCGCCGAGGCCGGAATTTTCACCTCCTGCAGCAGTTCCTGAAGGTAAAGGCCTTCGTGAACAGCTGCTGTTGCTGCGATGAATTCTTCTTCTGCTGATGACAAGGCAACCAGCTCCTCCTTCTGTGAATTCCTGGAGATGGGGCCGCTGGGATCGAGGCGAAAGAGGAACCCTGTCCTGGACCGTCGATTGTCGGGATCGACGGCATGATCAGCGTCCACGTAGCCGATGAGATTGAAGGATGCGGTTGGGATGGTGGAGTAGCAGAGCCCGAGATTGGGCATGGAGATGAAGAATTGGAGTGATCGCTGAAGATCTGAGAGATTCTCAGCCGTTGGTTTGCGTGAGTACTGAGCCAACTAACTTGCGATGTACGAGAGATCTGGCCTGCAGGTGATAGAGGCGAAGAGCAGGCAACCCAGTTGCTGCTGGTAAGTCTGAAGCCCAGCTGGGGATAGGGCTTTGTTGTCAGGCTTGTGGTTGGGTCCTGGGGTGCGGTAAGGGGTGGAGAGTGGTGCAGGTGCAATGTTGAACCGCTTGCCGAGTTCCTCTGCGTACTTGGCTGCTGAGAGATGAATGGCTTCCGGCGAGTAGGTGATGTTGAGGCCAAGGAACTGCTTCACATCGTGGTTGCAGGTGATGTCGACGCGCCCGCGAGGTTTTTCTCGAAGTGCTCGAGTAACTCAGGGCTTGACCCTGTGTAAAGGAGGCAGCTGCTTGAACCCAATTTCGAGCAGAATGTTATGCAGGTACTGTTGCCAGAGCCTCGGTGCCTGTTTGATCCCGTAAAGGGATTTCCGTAGTTGACAGACGCCCGAATCCCCTTCGCCGTATGTGTGCGGCTGCTCCACGTAGATCACAGCATCCACTAATGCGTACGGGAACGCATTCTTCACGTCGATTTGTCGGAGTGGCAGGTGTCATGCGGCAGCGATGGCAAGGAGAATTCTGACGGGGGTGTGACGGCTCACCGGCGCAAACGTTTGATCGAAGTCAATTTCGTGCCTCTTGTCGTAGCCGCGCACTACCCAGCGCGCCTTAAATTGTTCGATCGTTCCGTCAGATGCGGTTTTCACACGGAAGACCCACTTGCCGGAGAGGATCCTTCTTGCCTTCACTGCTGCACGGTCGACGAGCACCCAGGTGTCGCGTGACTGGAGTGCCCTGATCTCCGCGTCCATCGCCTCGCGCCACTCCTTGCTGTGAGGTCCCGTGATTGCTTGTCGTGGGTTTTTAGGCTCGATGATGCGTGGCGCCGTTGAGTGGCAGCGTGAAGTCCGAGAAGTTGCATTCCTGTGACAGTGCTGTCGTGGCGATGCTGCGGGACGACCTCCTGCACGTCGTCGTCGCTTTCTGGCTCTGGTGGGTCTGATGGTGCTGCGCCTCTGCCGCTTCCGCTTCCTCCTATTGCGCCTCCTGCTGCGCCCGCTCCTCCTTCTGCTGAGTCATTGTCGTCGTCGTCGTGACGATCACCTCTTGTGAACTCCCCTCTGGGGTCTTGCTCCAGGATGGCCATAGCAGCTTCGTCCTCTGGCGTGGCGTAGCTGTGCCCGTCATTGGCGTAAACGCGGTTCGCGTTCGTCTGCTCATCTTCGAAAAACTGCTGGAGGAATAGGCGCTCGTAGAAGATGACGTCGCACGCGTTCTTAACTTTCTGGCTCAGGAGGTCCAGAATGATCCACGCCTCGTATTCGTGACTGATGCCGAGGTGGATCCCCCAGCGCGCGCGGCTTTTGAACTTGCCGATGGTTGATGTCGGCGGGCGATATTGCACCATGCAGCCCCACACGCGGAGCATGGAGGTGTCGCCCTTGGTCCCCGTCCACTTCACGTGCGGGGAGAGGTTGCCGGTAATTGCGGTAGTGGACAGCAGGTTGTGCACCCACACGACGTGGTGCATCGCGTAGGTCCAGTAGATCGGCGGAAGCTTCGACTGCTTCATCAGCGCGCGCACCTTCGTCATGAGCGTGCGGTTGGTGCGCTCGGCCACGCCCTTCTGCTGATGCGCGTAGGGGAAAGAGATGTGGTGTTCGATCTCCTTTTGTGCGAGATAGTCCTGTAGTTCCTTGCTCCTGAACTCTGCTGCGGCGTCGGATTGCCAGATCTTCAATTTCTCCCCAGATTGCCGCTGCGCGTGCGCCAGCCACAGGCGGAACGCTTCGTATGCTCTGGTGCGT